CGCAAGCTTAGAGTCAAATTTGGATTTTCCGTTTCGGCCTGTAGACTAATTTCGTCGTATCTGGAGTGTAGATCCCAGTTTGTTGTGCACAAGGGTGTCCAATCTGATGTTGGTCTAATCCGGTGTGGAGTCCCGCAGGGCTCTGTACTGGGCCCATTACTTTTTATTATGTTCATTAATGACATCATGGATTCTGTTACTGCTAGTGATTGTAGTCTCTTCTTGTATGCGGATGACATACATGTATTCTTTAGGAGTGCTGATCTCGCCAGGTTGGAGAATCTTGCTAACACAACGTTGCAATCTCTCTCTATGTGGATCTCTTCCAATGGTCTTGATATAAACTGGGATAAGACTGAAGCTGTTTTGTTCAATTGTTGTTATGGCGGTTCTATGCCTAATATTTGCGTTAGTTCCTTTACTATTAATATTGTTGGTGAAATGAAGTGCCTGGGTGTAATTATTGATGCCAAACTTAGTTTTTCGACCCACATTGATCTTCTGTTGTCCCGTGTGCGATTCCAGCTTAGGAGGCTTTATAGTGTCCAAGCATATTTGCCTCTTGGTGTTAGGGTGAAGGTAGCTATGTCGTTGTTGATGTCTCAGGTTAACTATTGTTTGGAGGTTATTTCGGGCTCTAATTCTGGTCATTTGCATCGGCTCCAAAAGGTTGTTAACTCCATTGTTCGTTATGTATATGGTTTGGGTCGTAGTCATCATGTTTCCCAATTTGTTGTTAAATTTCTTGGCCTATCCTTTTATACTTATGTTGAATATCGTATCCTTTTGTGTTATTATAGAATTATGAGAAATGTTGATTTACCACTGTGTAGTAGGTTTGTGATGTGTAGATCCTCTCGGAACCCTCAGTTGTTGTATCCGAGGTTTTCGTCTGCAATTTGTGAAAGATCATTTGTAGTTAGAGTCGTAAGATCGTGGAATCAGCTCCCTTTGAGCCTTCGTAAGTTTACCTCTTCCACTTTTGCGTATAGGAGGGAATTGTTTGGGCATTTGTCTCGTATTTGATGAAGCTGGCTTTGAAGAAATCGCTGATTACAGGTTGCATAATGGTACTTTGTCTTTTTTTTTAATTTTTGGCTGGGGAGCCATTTTTATTTAAGTTCGTTAGCATTTATGTTATAGATTTATACAGATGGAATTTAATGTCTGTGGTTCTGATATTGCTCTTGGGCTCGAGAGGAATATATAGTATATTTATATGTATGGTTCCTTAAGCTTCCTTTCCCCTCCACTTTTCTTGGCAACAGTTAAGTAGAGTGCAGTGGATTGGGGTTCTTGTTTGGAATCTGTTATGTTAGCGGTTTGCATTAAATTTCATTATGTAGAATTTTGTTTTTTGCTGTTATGTATTTTTAATTTATTTAGTTGATTCTTTGTTTGGGTTTTTATTTTTTTTTTTTTTTATATATAAGTTAATATAAGTTATTGGCCATGCTGGCTTTTTTATATTACATTGTATGAAATAAATGAAATGAAATGAAATGAAATGAAAACATTATATATGCTAAAAGCTTTTATTTTGATTTAAGTTGGAACTACGTGGTTGTATTTTGCAAAATATAACATAATTTTATCTTAATTTTTATGTATATTTGATTTAAATATATATATATATATATATATATATATGACAAAATGTAATGAACTAATCAAAAATTATCTTCAAATGATACCCAAAATGAATATATGTATGTTATTCTTTCAATGACATTGAATGTTGAATATGAATCATGCCACACCATATATACAAATATTGTTCATGCATACATACATATGTAGGTTTATTGGCATGGCACTCAAACTCACAAGGAGGCTTCTTAAACCAACTAAACATTTTGTGTGAAAAAGCGCACTCGTAATGACCAACAATAAAAAGATTTCTGCCTGCTATATGAAAGGTTCGTCATGAAGACATGTCTAAATATATGCCCATAAATATTTGCATGTATATACATGTGTGTGCCAATTTAAAAGTGCAAATTTTCTATGTACGCTCCCACATTAGCAGTGTGTGTCCACCATGCGCGTTATCTATGGCTACAGCAACAACAGGAGACAGTCTGTCTGTCATAAACGAATACGTCATCGCTGTTCATTCATATCACAGCGCTCAAAACAATCACAATAGTACAGAGGGAAGCAGCAAGAAACAAAATGACACACTTCAAATAAAATAATATTGATAAAAAGAAAATAAATAAATGCAGCTTCATAGGATACATAGATAGAATAGCTGGTAAAGTCATAACTTTCTTGACACACATTAGTTCTTCGTTATATATTTAAGATCAGTTCAATTTATAGGGTAACTTTAAAGAAATACGTATTTTAAATTTTTCGACATTCCAGGGGCATTTATTCCTCTATATTGTATTAATGTTCATTTGTTTCGAAATGTTTATTTCCCGATGACAGTAACTCATGTTTAAGTAGTTTGTACTAAAGTTAAGTAAATTCAAAATTTGGTAAAATATTGTTTTTTTTTTTTTTGCCTATAGTCGGCATTAGTTTCCTATTGCCGGCATGGTATGTTCCAATAGTCGGCATGTCGTATTGTAATTGAAAAAAATTTGTATATTTGACTGATTTTTTATTATTTTCATTAACATATGGCTATTAAAATTATAGATTTCATTGATTTATTTTATGAAAATGTTTCATTTCATTTATTTCATACAATGTAATATAAAAAAGCCAGCATGGCCAATAACTTATATTAACTTATATATATATATATATATATATATATAAAAATCCAATATAAATAAATATAAATACATCACAGTACAAAAAAACAATCTACATAATGAAATTTAATGCAAACCCCTAACATAACAGATTCCAAAAAAGAACCCCAATCCACTGCACTCTACTTAACTGTTGCTAAGAAAAGTGGAGGGGAAAGGAAGCTTAAGGAATCATACATATAAATATACTATATATTCCTCTCGAGCCCAAGAGCAATATCAGAACCACAGACATTAAATTCCATATGTATAAATCTATAACATAAATGCTAACGAACTTAAATTATAAATTTTGCTGCCGACTTTATGAAACAGTTATCCAATACTAGGCATGGCTAATACACTCACTTTCAAGGGTAATTTTTTTTTTTTTTTTTTTTTTTTTTTTTTTTGTTTAATAAAAATATCATTGTTACAAATATTTCTTAATAACTTTACGTGCTAAAATATGACTTTGTATGTTCTTAACAATTATGGAAAATCCGGATGAAAAATATATAACTTTTATATATTTTCTATCAATACATGTATAATAGGCCTCTAAGGCTTCCTTTGTATTGATATTATAAATAAATAAAAAAAATATTTACGAGTATTTTAAAATCGGCATGCTCACTACTTTTTTTTACTATTGGTAAAAGAACCACATTGAGAAAAGCCTAAATTACTGCATAATAAATGCACGAGGAATTTTTGCACAGAGATAGATGGATTTAGTGGAAGGATTTTTTAGTTATTTGAAATCATATACAACAGAGTACTGGTACATGTCGACATTAGGAGCACTTACCCTTTAGCTGTTTTATAATTAGTTTTCAATTCTGGGCCTTGAGAAGAGAATTCGAAATATATATAATTTGCGGAAATTTTTTAGAAATAACTCTTCGTCGGCTGCAAATTTGTACCGAAAATGTAGATTTGCCTGCTAATCTGCCTAAAAACTATCACTGTAAAAGGTTAGCGACACTTTACAAAATAAATTAGCAAAGGACAGTAACCCTTACATTTTTAGCTAATAGGAAATATCACATTGTGATATTCGTTTCAACGACAAAGGGTCTGTTTAAAATAACTGAAATATGCTATCTATAAAAATAAAATAGGCTTTGATAATCTTGAACGATATTATCAGCTATCTGTGTCAAATTTTAATCGAAATAACAAAACCCAAAGGGGATGACAGACTGACTATGTAGATAAAATAATGATGCAGTATGCAGTGCAGGTGCATTTTTATTTTGTTCACCAAGTAAAATTAATTTTTTTTCTTTACATACTAAATTGCAGGGCAACCCAACACAAAATCATTTGTTTTCATCTATTTATTAAAATATATATCAGGCCTTTGCGCTTCCTTTTATAAACTAATAGCACATATACAATAGTTATAAGTTTTGTAAGATGTCATACCAAATATTAGAAACTTGTGCCGACTATTGTAAAAAGAGCTATTTTTTTCAAATTACACAACGTTAATATAAAATAATTTAAAAAAAAAATATATAGCATCGAAGACACAAATACATTGTAAAGGATATAGTAAATTCAATGGATTTAAATTGTCAAGTTTTCATTGGATATAGAAAGTCAAGTAAATTCCTTCTTTATGAGGCCCGGCAAGAAGTTCTAATGTACAACTCTTTCAGTTTCGACAAAATATTGAAAAATGCACTGGAAATGGAGGAAAATTCAAAAATCCTTTAAGTGACGACTACTGAAACATACATGAAGTAAGTCATTCTATCCAAACTTAAACCATCATAACATTTTATCTCAAACATAGATTAAGTCCGAAGATGAGGAATATCGATCCACTTTTCCATTTTAAAATACGAAAATTTGTCAATCTCATTTTTTTCTTATAGATGGAATTTTAGATTTTATCCAATCGTAATATTAATACCAAATCAGAAGCAGTGGACAAATACCAAGATCAATGTATAGGGCATATGATGAGCGTATATATCGACAACATTTAATAGTTAAATGTTAAAATGAGCTATGAGATTACAATGTACACACAAAAAAGTACGGGAACGGGAAAAGAGTTAATATATGAACGTCACGTACATATATGTATGTCAATTCTTCAAAATCAAAACTAGCAGGGTGTTTCTAGAGCATTGTTTTAAGAGTTTCTAGATAGTTGATTAAAATTCTAATTCTATATATCTCTATTTAAATGTCTAGTGAATTATTATTTTCATTTATCATTTTTAATTATGGACTTACCATGTTCCCAAGGATTCGCTGGCTCTAAATATCCGGTAACTAATTCGTTGTCGCTTTTAGGAAATGATACACGACGTGGAAGAGAAACAGAACCATCCGATGATTTTCGCACCATGTTCGGCGAGGCGGTGGCACTCACAGTACCCGATTTAATTGCACTGCTATAGTATGGCACAGTGTTGTCTGCCGCCGGCTCTTTTTTATCTTGTTCTTCTTCCACTTGTTGCAGTTGCTTTTTACGCAATTGTACTCCAAAAGTCGGCTCACTGGAGATATGCGGCAAATGAGTTTCCAACTTAGGACTTAAATCCAAAGGTAGAGACGCTAATGGTGACGATGGTAATGCTACTGTTGTTCTCGAAGGTGTTGATAATCCCGATGAAACAATTGACGGCAACATTTCATTAACATCCTCATACTCAATTCGCTGCCGACTCCTTGTGTCCAATGTATCATCCGTTGGGATTTCGGATATGAGTGGCTGTAATGATGGATTTTCCTCATCTGATGCAGTTGTTGTGTTTTCTGGTTTTCGATCCTGCTGTTGCAATGGCAGTTCGGTATCACCTGGTGTCATAACTGAGCCAGAAGTTAACAACGCTGATGTCGGTGATGACTTCGAAGATTGTGGAATTGCAGTTTCGGCTTGGTGTACATTGTGTTTTTCATAGTTCTCAATAAAATGGCTTGCTGTTGTTGTCAATTTGCTTATTGTTGCAATTTTGTTCTCGTTTTCGTTTGTCTTTTTAACACTATTATCGTCTATTGTAATGTTAGTTGTTGCTGTTGCTTTTGTTTCAGTAGTAGTTGGCGTCTTTGCATTGTTGTTGCTTTTATATTCTTGCTCTGTTGATAGTTGTTGTGTTCCTTGTGGGCTTTGTTTTTTGCTTTCGCTTACATTATCATATGCAAAACTACTCATATTCACGTTTTCTCTTTAAAATAATATCTTTTCACACTGTTCACTTCGTACAATTTCGCTTTGCTTTCATCAGTCTAAAATCTATAAAAACGGAAGCAGAATTCTGATCGTTTAATTAGCACAAAGAATGCAAATTGTCAAGACCGGTGAACTTTTTTCAGTTGATTGCGCAAAAAGTGCTCATCAATACTATATGGAACAATGGATGCAGCTATCTTTGGTGGATGATCGATCTGTCACCAAACTTATTTTTAACTAGGATTTGTTATAAATGTTTCGTTTCTTTTTTACGATAATTCGAAAACTTTTCACCGATAAGGAATAGAAATGAATGAATAAAAATATAAATAACATAGTAGGGAATCTGAAATGATTTTCAATGACAGTAAACAATATCTCACAGACTATACGCGGGTTATAACATCGAATGAAGAGTGTAAAAATAAATAAAATAGAATTCCGGTTTAACGATTATGCTATTTAACGATGGATCAATCCCATTACATAGTGTACACCACCGTTATATAATTCCGGTTTAACGATTATGCTATTTAACGATGGATCAATCCCATTACATAGTGTACACCATCGTTATATAATGAACACAATGTAAACTCCTGTACTTAATATGTACAACGGTCTCACACAAAAAACGGTTTTCAAGTGCACTCTTGGTTCGGCAAAAAACACAAAGAACCAAAAAAAAATCGTTACATCTTTCATCTTTATTGTTCGTTTTTCGGTTTGTCTTCGAATTAATTTTGCTTGCCATTTCATGTTACATCGTAGTGCAGTAAACATTAATATGCCTGCATGAAAGAGATTGTTGATAGGTGAAAAATTGAAGATCAATGAAAATCATCGTTAAGGTGAATCTGTATAGTCTTTACAAACACTACTACTAATTTAATGTCTTGTAAAAAAGGGTCGTTGATAAATCTTTATCAATATTTAATATCGAACGACTTACTGGAACCAGAAAGGGAATTCAAATGCTCAATACTATATAATTTGTAAAATAGGTTTGTTTTTAGAATGAAATTTCCCCTGAATGAAAATTCTTCATAGGATAACGAGAGTATCCGAAGTAATTAATCGGAAAACATCTCGGATGAACAATACTCGAAAGTAAAGAATTCGGATGTCATACAACATTTCGAAGAGAGTATAAAATGGTGCGACCAGAATAATATTGATTTTTCGAAATAGAGAGTTTTAAAACAACTTCAAGAAGAAGCTATATGCCAATGCGTGGAAGTTCCACATATGCTAACTACAATAAATGATTTTTTTTTTTAAACCTTCATAATATACTATTGTTCTCAGTGAAATAAAAATTGAAAGCAAATTTTTATTTTTATAAAGAAGAAATAACCAATTATTTGTACGCTTAGCGAATGAAACAGAGAACACAACAAGAAAGAGGAATCAAAACAAACGTTAGGGCCATGTAAAAATAGAAGAAGAAGAACAATGAAACAGAAACGTCCAATTGGTGGGGGGACAGTGCTTCAAACACTTCGATTGGGTGACTTGGCTGTTTGTGGTCATCACATCAGTAGTGTTTGTTTAAATATTACTGATGGTGTTGTTATTGTAGTTGTGCGCGACTTATTTTGATTGTTCGTCTGGCATGTATTTGTCTTGTTAGAATGTGCAAATTAAAATAATAATTTTGGTGCTGTTGCTGATGATGTTGTTTATTTACTTTTCGCTTGTGTCGCACACTTCGCGTTGGAATTCAACAAAATGGGGAAAATACAAAAAAATAAATAAATACTCTGCTGCTGTTCTATTTGCACTCGTGTTTATGGATCTTGATTTGATTATTTTTTTTTATTTGCGCGTATTTTGTTTTTTGAGTGATGTTGATAGTTCTGTTCGACGTTCAAACTCTTGAGAGAACTAATAGCATGCGCGCGATTGCTAACATGTTCGTATGTTCAGCACATGTATGTACGTCTTGCCTAGTCGAATATCTTCTTTTTTTAGTTTAATTTGTAATCTGGAGACTGAGGTGAATGTGTGTGTATACAAACATACATATGTATATATATGTTTGTATATTCATAAATATATATGTATGAGGGAAAGACGCTTGTTTGTTTTGAAAAAAGTGCATTTCTTTGGTTTTAATTATTATTATCATTATAATTTTTTTTCTAGTAAATTTTCTTATTTTCCTTTTTTTTGTTGTTCGCATTTTCTTTGTATATATTTTATGCCATTACTTGCGAGAGCTAAACGACAGTCTCCATTCACCGATTGAAAATTAATTTGTAATTTATTTCTTTTTTATTTTTTTGTTTTATCACCTGAGTACTCTGTTGATTAGCATTCAATCACTCACACTTGAACAAATGAACGCACACATATCTATATGACTTGAGAAAAACACACGCTCTTATTTTCTTTTTATCAATAAATTTATATAGCCCTTCAAATTCACTTAAACTGTGTATTTGGTAGGCTTGGAGTTGATCTATCACCTATAGCAGCCACTTTTCCACAGCTGGATATTTTCTTTTTTTTTTTCTATATTAACTACGTTTGATGTTTTGGCTTTATATTACGGTAATTATAATTTTTAGGATTTTTTTTGTTATGATTGCTAATAATATTTTATTGGGGTGATATTAAAATTTAAAAAACTTTTAATTAATAAAATCATTAATTAATGAATAATTGATCCGTTATTAACGATTAAAAATTTAAGTTACTTTAGGGATAACAGCGTAATTTTTTTTGGAGAGTTCATATGGATAAAAAAGATTGC